GTTGTTGCTGGGTAGTGCTTACTTTAAGTCAAGGACTTTCCAGTTTCCCGTACTCTGCCAGCGAGGAGGTGCAAAAGAAGTTTGGAGGGAGCATGGCCAGGACAGCTGACCTGAACTGACCTGACCTGACTGGTCAAAGGTATATTCCATACCACAGAATGTCAAACTCAGTATATGAACTCAGGGGGTCGGCCAGGAGGTTGGCTGGTTGCTGCTCAAGGATGGGCTGGGTATAGGTGAGCAATCGCACTGTGCATCCCCTGTCTTTCCCTGGTTTTATTCCTCTCCCTCTTTTTGTAACCTCCCTTTTCATTACTATTACTAAAATTTTTTACTTTATTTCAATCATCAAACTTTTCTTATCTCAACACATGGGTTTTACCTTTTTCTAGTTCTCCTTCCCATTCCATTGCGGGGAGTGGGGCATCCAGTCAGCAGCTGCACGATACCCAGTTGCCCACTGGGATTAAATCATGACAACAATTCCACTGCACTCACTAAACCTCTACTGACTTCAATGCGACTATTCTTATAAACCAAAAGTTAAGCACATGTATCAGCAAAAAATGGATACTATTTAAAATACGGCTCAGGAACCAGAATAGAAGACATCTCATTCTTATATATCTGCATGGATTCTATATGATAAATAGGAGGAAAACCAAGCATCCCTCTATTAACACTAAAGCACAAATACTACTAAAAGTTTCCATCTTAGTGAATTCAGTATCTATCACCCAAGACTGCCCAAATATAAACAAACCAAAGTAATGGAGGTTTTTTGAGCCTGAAGATTAAGTACCTATGGCTTTTCCAAAAAGCAAGAAAATTTCAGAGATGCCACTTAGTATATCACTACAAACTGACATAAATCCCAAGACTGCTACAGGCAATGATAAAAGGCAACACCAGAGCTACTCACTAGGTCTTTAAAAGTCTAAGAAGGGATACAGTACAGCAGACTACTGTTACTTCTCCTGTAAATCATTAAAACACATAGCAGACTCCAAAATAAATACCCACTTCCTTCTTGGAAATTAGGTACTTCAAATTTTTGTCATTAACCTACTGTCTCTGCTTGAATGCTACTTTGATTTCAACCAAGTTACAAATTTCACCTGCTACTTCACATATCTGTTCATGCAGATATTTGTATTGCATAACTGCAGCTGAGTTTCATTTGTTCAAAGCTCTACCTGGGTTTACCTCCCATAAATGTCTGCCTCTTCATATCTGTAAGAGGAGAACATTTCACATATACCAGCATTTCTCTTCTTGCTAGGAGGAAGCTATGCTTCCCAGTGTGTTACCTTCAGTATCAGAGTAGAGGTTGCACTGTAAAAGGTGTCAATTAGCCTTTGACTTACAGATGGCTAGAAAATACCTTACATTTTCACATGATAAAAGAAAGTGGACAGCCAATTAAACATTGAATCCTTCAATGCTAGCACAGTATAATTTTTTAGAAGTGTAACACTGATGCTCTATTAAAATATGAAAATGAGCCACACATAATGTTTAACATACCTGATCAACTACAACACGTCTCAGCATCGGTCTTTAAGTGACCACAAGATTTTTCAACATGTCTGGCATTTAATAATGACTAGAATTTCCTCTCATAAGACAGCTGCTTATAAACAGAGAGCAGGTAAGGATCTGGCTACCCACTGCAGCATTCCAGTAACTTTTATTTTAAAATAATACCAGCTAACCTTCACTAAAACCTTTTACTACTTACTAAAATTGGGATACTATTCTTCCACCTATTTTTTAGTTTGTCCATCATACTGCAGCTTTATACTTCTGTTGCAAACACATTTTGTGGCTTTTGAATTTCAGCCTATAAAAAAGATATCAGATTAATGAAACAATAGAAAGAGATAAAGGTGAACAACTGACCCCTTGCCTAGACTAGGACCATGATCTGATTTAATGTACTGTCTACTCAATTTAGAATTTTAATACAAGCTTAGCGTAACACAGTATAGTACACATATTTAACCAGTCAAGTTACTTCCTAGACTAACTTAACAGCTTCATCTTTGTTAGAGATGCACAGTACCTCATCTACCTTAGAATTGTAAAGGTTTCTTCACACACAAAAAGTAAAAAGTGTTATTTAAATCATACATTGGAGAGCATCCCTGACAAAGAAACTGTTGCTGGTTTCATCTATTTAATTCAAATATTTAAGAGATGCAAAGTTGCAGGGATGTCTCTTAAATACACAACACACTACTTATTAAGTTAATGTGTAGGGTTTATGATAAAATAGAAATAATAAAGCAAGTAAAGCAAAAATACTTCTCCTGCTCAGATGTGAAAAGACTTAAAATACCTTTACAAAATACTCAAGAAGCCCTAAACTCAACTTAAAAAAAATTAAACATCCTTCATCTCTTACCTGTAAACCAAAGAGCAAGATAATATTTCATATTTTAGTGATTTCCCAGAAATGACATTTAAGTCAAGGAAACAAAGTGCTAAGTAATATGAAAAGTATATTTAGTCCTATGAGTAGTGAGGATTCATAGATCTTTATCCATAGCAAGGATAAACACACTTTTCAGAATTAAAGAATTCTTTAATTCTGAAAAGTGTGTTTATCCTTGCTATGGATAAATATCTTCATCGATATTTAGAAGTGGAATTTAGTGCTTCCAATACATACTTCAAATGCAGAATGAATTAATTGCCATCCAGCTGCTCCCTTTTAAAAACATTTCTAGTTCCACCACTCTATTCCAGCTGAAAGGCGAGTACTGGAATAAGACAGAACAAACTTCCTTGTACTTTTTCCCAGTGTGCCTGCCCCCTCCCCCAGGCATTTGTGCTCCTCCTGCATCTAGAAGGAAACAGGGAAGGGGGCTGCTCTTCATGTTCAAGTGTAGCTCAAAGCATTAAATCAAGAATAATTTAGGTACAGGTAATGTGAGCCACTTTGCCTTCAGAGAGGGACTTAAAAACGTCTAAATAACAAATTTAGTATGACCATTTAAGAAAAACTTTTCTTTTTCTTTTTTTAAAGAAACAAAGTCTAATAATAATAATAGTACATAGAAAGAAAACCTTTTTTTGTTCTTTTGTGATTTGTAGTATTTAGTTGGACTTTTATTCACTATCTCACTCCACATATTTTAACACTCAGTGAAAAGTGATACTGACACCATAGTTTGACTGCCTTGGAATGTACAAATGTTCACAAAAACCCTTTGCTTGCAACTTTGATAACCATTGAGTAATGCTGAAATTTTGCATTCAAGACAGGGGAGCTAGTATAGTCTGTAAACAGCAGTTTTATACATACTGCTACATCAATGTAACACTCATGTATAGCTCGCTAGTGGCAGAAAAAAAGAAGAAATATCAGAGTCTACTGTACCATAATTTTAAAATTCCATAAAATTCCATAAGAATTATGGTCTTATTTCTGTAAGCTTTAGGCAGCTTAAGGGCTATTTTATAGTAGTATTCATTTCCAAAATTCAGTACTAGGCCCTTCAATGCACAGACTAAACAAATAGGAATAATGAAAAATGCACACACTAGATGCAACCTTTACAGTAAGAAAATTTAGCATGGACCTCCCCCAAAACCTATTTCAGTTAAGGCTTCTTTTTTTTCCTACATAAACCAAATAAAAAAGGGTCTTGAAGCCTGTACACAGCACTTCCAAATAGAGACTTCTTTGTTTCCACAGTATCAGCTGGTTATATGGGGTATGAGGTCTAGATCTAGCTTTGGTATAAAGGTATCCACCTAGAAATTTCTCTTAGTCTACACGCAATTCTGTATTTGCAGTCCAATAGCTTGGCAAAATCAGCCTGGCTCTGAAGGTAACTGTAAAACAAGGCCCTTACATTTTTCTAGGTGCTATTTCAAGCTGCATAGCAACAATGCTGTTAGCACACAATTTAAAAGCACATCTACTGCTACCCTAACATGTTTTCTTTAAGCCATTAGTACCTTTCAAAAATTATCCTCCCAATTTTTCCTCTGTGAATACATCCAGATTTCTAAAACACTATCTTTAAGAGTTACATATTCACATTAATATTTCACAAGCATCTAACCTGCAACATCATCCCAAGTAGGACAATGACGACACAACCACTAAAACATATCTGGCTGACGTCCACCAACTCAGACACAGACACAGCAAAAGCTGTATTGATATAACACTGCAAACACTGCTATATATTCCCCCAGACTGATCCGAACTTCTTTCCTGTCGCCCTGAAGGTAGTCAGACTCTCTTCTTGACCACCAAATACCTCTGAACACACTGTTCAGAAACGAGACTGTAATGAGTGAGGCTTTAAAAGCATCAATCTGAACATGAGTAAACCTGCAGTGGGATAAAGGAAGTTCTATATACAGGCAAGCTAAATAAATGAGTTTTTAATGGCAACCGTTCAGAAAAACCCCAAATATTAAACCCGTCCCCCGCAGCAGCCTCTGGTACTGGCGGGCCATAAGAGTCAGCTGAAGGGTGAGGGGGATGCGTGGGGTCACATACCCCCACCTCGCCCTCACCAATCAACCCCATCCATCCATCCATCCATCCATGCATCCATCCATCCATCCCTCCGCTCCCGGCCCTGCCGGCGGCGCGGGGGTGGACGCGGGAGGGCGCGTGCCGGGGGTCCCCGCAGGCCGGGCCGGCCCCGCCCCGTGGCTCTGGCCTGGCAGCGCTCCCGGACACCGGCCGCCGGGAGCCCTCGCTGGGGGCCGGCCCGCCCGGCCTCCTCGGGCCCCGCCGCCGCGCTTCCTACGGCCCCCTCCGCCGGCTCCCAACGGCCAGCGGGCCCCGTCTCCCCGGGAATCGCCATTCCCCTCCCCGAGGCCGCGGGACGGGCCCACCCCCGGCGCGGGGAGGTGGGGCCGGGAGGGGAGCGGGGTCCCCGCGCAGGCCGGCGGGGCGCCCGCACCGTCCCCCGCTGCCCACGCTCACACGGGGGAGGGTGGCGGCGGCGCGCAGGGGGAGAGGCTCTGACCTCCTCGCTCTTCAGCACCTCCTTGAACTCCCGCTTGATCCTCTGCACCGCGATGTTGGCCATCTCCGCAGCGGGCACCCCCTCGCCGCCCCTCCGCGCCGGGCCCAGCGAGCTCCGCCGTCGCTCCGCTGGAGAACTCCCGGCCCCACCAAAATGGCGCCCGCGTTGAGCATGCGCGGTGGGGCTGCCGCTGCTCCTCAGGAGGGGCCGCGGGAGCGCGGCCGGAGCGGCACCGGGGCGGTGGTGGGGCCGGGACTGGGGCCAAGCGGTGCCGGCGGGGCGGCTGCGGCGGTTGCGCTCTCGGCCACCTCCTCCCCGCTGCCCCCGCGGGGAAGGGTGCGCTGCCTACCTGGGGACGCGCAGGCGGCCGCCCTGCTGGCCGCTCGCCCCAGGGACACCTGCCCGCAGACCCGCTCGCGCCGCTCGCCCCGGCACGGGCCGGGCGGGCCCAGGAGAGAGCGTGAGGAGGAACCTCCTCGGGTAGAGCCCGCAGGCGGGCCCCGGGGCACAGTGGAGGCCGTTGTGTTGTCATGGCTCCCGCCCGGCCCTCTCCCCGCACCAGGTGAACCCCGAGGCACCGGCTGGGGGTGACGGAGCACTCTCGGGAGGGCTGGGCCGGCCCGAGGTAGCGGGGGAAAAGCCTGAGGTGTCCCAGAGGAAACAGCTGGCTCAAGGAGCAGCTGGCGTGTTTGCTAGGGAAGCCCCCGAGCAAAAAAACTCCGGAGTGTCTCACGTGCTTTGAGAATCTGGTCAACCTGGCCCATACAGCTGCTCCCATCTATGTTTTTTCGCTTATGCTCCCGGACCAGCGCCTTGCCCTCTTCTCACCCTCACCCTTCTTTTGCAGACGCTGGTGTCTCCTCACACGGGAGGGGGGTAACTTGCAGGCCGAGGAACAGGCAGCTCTGAGGGGACAGCGTAAGGAACTGTTTCTTTCTATGGATTCTGCTACAAGATTTTGAAAGTACAGTAAAAGCCGAACGTCTGTCCTGCCTAATGGACTGTTAGGTTTTATTGCAGAAGCAAACACGAGGACCCACAGATGTTGCTTCTGTTCTGGAATCTGAAATAGGATAACACTAATCATCCCTGCTAGCTTGAGCTGTGTAAAATAAGGCAAGCTATGGAAGGGCATAGATGGATATTCAGAGGGGAACGTGAGATTGCATTTAGAACTGTTGTTTATTCAGGAACTAGAGGCTTTCAAGACATTAAGGTTTATAGAAACAATTTATAGGGCCCCCTTTTAACCGTGCACTGCAGGACAATGAACGACATAGACATTTATCTCAACAAATGTCTACTTCTGGTATGGCTGTCATCTGCAAGTGCTGTTTATTTATCTCCATTAGTATACACAGCATTTTGACTTTCATATACACAGTAAAGAAAGTATAAGCCAAACAAAAAATAATCTGGCAACTATATACAGAAGCATCTAGTCCTTTCTGTGTGTGTTTACTCTTCCCCTGTGGTTTGACTGGAAAAAGTCAATTTTTCTGCAAAAATGTTGTACCATGGGCATCTGTTCATCAAATTAGGTCTTCTTCAGACTGAGACTTGTTTTAAATGTATTATACAATGCAGCTTTTCAGCTGAGGTTTTCAGTACTTTTTTGAGAAGGACCATTTTGCAATAGGTCTGATTTCTTTTTAATGACTTATGGTATGATCTTGGACCTTCATCTTCAGAATAATTTAGACATCTAAGTCCCACTGATGTGTCTTAAGTTCCTTTTGAAAGAGGTAGGCTGTGGTTTTCTGTGCCATTGGCTCTCACCAGTAAAATAAGGGTAATAACTCTTTTCTGCCTCTTAGAGCTCTTAGATGAAAGTTCGGTTTATGGTGTGCTGTGCTCCTATGAGTACTATAGACAAAAATTATAAAGGTAGTACATAAAATCTCTGGGTTAAATGCCTCACATATTTTAAGACAGCTCATACAAAGAAGCTGATCTTCTGATATTCAGATTTTGCTCTGAATGGAGTGGAAAACATGACCTTTATCAAGTGTCAGAGTCCTTTGTGTTCCCGTGAGTATGCTTGTATGTTATAGGTAGTAGACATCCAGGTAAGGGCCGTAGTAAAGGGCAATGATTTTGCCTGGTTTGTACCTAGGTTCATTTTCATGTGCTCATTTGGATTACAAATGTCAGAGTCTGTTACTGCAAAAATGAAATTTGAATGAATAATATGAATTAATGTATCTCTTTTCCTTAGTATACCCCACTCCTTTCTCTTGCCTTAAAACACATCTTTCACTTATCTCACAGCTGTTTCATAATCTCCATATACTGTGTTAATTTTCTCTTGCTGAAAGATAGGAAGGCTTTTTAGGTGGTAGAACAGAGCAATGATGAATTTTGACAGGATCAAAATTACATAAAAATCAGTACCTTATGTAATCAGCATGCTGGGGTTATCATTGTATATATCCTATATTTTATGCTTTATTATAGTTTACTATTTTACAGAAGACTCTACAGGGTTTTAGGACAGAACAGGACCATAGACTAGCAGTCTTAGAATAGGGGCTTTGAGTTTTTATTTTAGTTTGCTTTAGGGTTTTTTTGGTTTGGGGCTTTTTGTTTGTTTTTGTTTTGTTTTTGTTAAATAAGAAAATGCTTAGAAAAAAATTATAACATCCCCTCTGTGTTGATTTCAGTGACTTCCATGTCTGACTCCATAGTATATTTTATGATATGTTGATAATATAGTCCTGTGTTCATCCTCTGAATTAAGTTCTCATTAGTCTTTTGCTCTTACACAAAATGTAAAACTGTAGTCCGTTGAACATAGTCAGCTCACGTTTTGAATTACAAAATTTTGTAGTATATCTGATTTCAGGAGATAGCTCTTTCATTGATCCTATCATCAATTTAGCCTCAAACCAAACAGTTCTTTCAATAGCAACTTTCACAGACCAGCTGCAGATTGGTCTATTCTTTCGTGCATTGGTGTTGATCATAACTAATAGAGCGGGAGATACAATTCTGAGTATCCATATTGTTTACTATGTTTGGCATATTGCTTTGAAGTAGTTCTGGAAGTGGGAGCAGGAGATACCGTTTATAAATGAAGTTCAAACTATGTAAGATTACTGCAGGAGTAAAGTTAATAGGATCAGTGTCTGTAACATAAGATCAGTGGTTGTAAGGCCTCAGCCCAAGCTCTCAATAGGGAAAGGCTGACAATGTTCATTAGCCAATGCTGGGATAACCAAACATCCTAAATCATGTATCCTGTATCATTTCCCATGTCATATGGGAAGTATCGTCTATCATACAAACTATATATAGGACACGGTTGCCCACTTTTTCATGGAAAAGTGGCTGTTGCTCATGCATAGTTTGCGTGTGTTGGACTCACTGTACATCCAAATAGTCACCATGTGCATAGTCCATCTCTCTGAGACTGGGGATGCCCCACAACCCTGGTGTACTGCCTGGGGACTCCAACGTGTTTATGACACCACTAAGTATGATTAAATATATGTTCTTCAAGTTAAAATTCTTGGAGATCTTTTTCTCATTTCCATATTTTCCTAATTTTATTCTCTTCATATCAATGGGATATTTTTCTATTAGAATTACTCAGGGAGAATTTGGAATTAAGATTGTTCCCTGGGATTACAGGAAAATTACATTTTTGAAATGATAGCTTTCCAGTATGCAGCATTCTGTTCGTCTTTTGCTGTTTTATGTCTTGCATAACAAGACTTCCCCCTCCTCATCTTGGCTTTAGTTTAGAAAAATCAAAAATATCAGGCTTGATCTTCTCTCATTGTTGCTGGAGGATTGCTTTTTGGAGAGGAGAGCTGTCTCAAGAGATATGTATGTTGATTTCAATCGCTTTAGAAACAGGGGTTGAACCTGTAGCATTTTTAATTCTTATTTTATTTATTTCATGAGCTATCTATATGAGTATTAACTTTAAAGGCTATGTTAGTATTAGATTATATGCATTTTGCATTTAAATGTTCAGATGCTCATTTATAATAATGCTTTATTTTAAAAAAATCAGCAGCAAATAATATTCCTATAACTAGGTCAACTTTAAATTTAACCTTCTTTTTCCACTGAACTTACACCTACATCTCTCTTTTTATGATCCCAGCTTTTAACAGAGAGGCCTACATGCCAGAAATTGTCTTTTTTAGCTGCATATAATTCAGCACATTTCAGAGACTACGAGTAAATTTAGCCCACACATTTATTGTCTGTCATAGTGTGTTCCTGTTGTAGCAGCATCTGGATGACTCAATTTATTGCGAAGATTAGCTTTATTTTTAAAAATAACTAACTGGTCGTGCAAGTTGACCGAGTTTTAAGTTGTCATCTTAACTTTCCTGTTCCTCCTATAGGTGCCCATGTCTGGTTGCGTGGCCAGGTGTAAGAGTGCCCTCTCCTGGGTGGAACAGGCACTTTGGCTTGCTCGCTTGAGACGGATCCCTCTGTTGGGAAGCCCTTTGCCTTACAAAGAGCTCATGGTACTGTCACTGCCTTGAGGAAGAACTTGTAGGAGTTCTGCAGGCAGAAATGCCAAAAACAGGAAAACAGAAACTAATGCGATGTTACGGATGAGAGAGAAGGTATTCACTCATGATGCCTGCACTTAACGATTTAGATTTTTCATGTAATTAGCAGCTGAAATATACATGTATTAAAAGGCACTACAGGTTCTAACTAAACATCAGAGTGATCTGAAGTCATTCAATTTGAATTCATATGATGAAATTCATCTGACTTAGTGGAGTTAGATCCGAAATCAATTCAAGTATTGATTTTACATCAATCCATCTATGGCTTAAACAAGACATAGCAAAGTTTTAATTAAATAATGAATGTGTAGAAATTTTTGGTAGTTTAATAACACCCTATTGTTCTTCACTTGTAATGAGCTTCTATTATAAACTGATGGGACACCCTGGACTTCTATTAATTTAGTGGTCTGACAATATCTTCTTAAATTAATGTTACATCTGTATCTGATGTTTCTGGTAGGAAAACATAGATATAAACAGACTCAATGCTTTTAAGTCTGTTTGCAAAATTACCGGGTTTCTAAGCTTCCACTTCTTTGTGGAGGAGTGATTTTCAACTGGTGGTACACACACCTCGGGGTCTAAGGGCCATTTCTTGTGGCTTCATGAAGAAAAAAAAAAGAAGGAAAAAAAAAAGCAGGTACAGCTGTGAGATAGTTCTTGTGATTTTGCAGGAGGTCCCCAGTTTATTAATATTCTTAATAAGCAAGCATCTACCTTGAAAAATTTGGCATCTGCAGACTGACAAGTTGACTACAGGGAACTAAAAGCTTTCTTAAAAAGGAAGATGTGTAAAGGAAGATGTGTAAAGCTACACTGCTTTCTTCCTATTACAAAAAGAAGATAGCAATCTTTTTGAGGGTCCTTTCAAAGTGAAAGCAAGTTGTGAATATAGAAGTAGTTTTCACAACCTAACATGGCTATTATTAGTAGTTTAATGAATATTAGAGTTATAAGGGAAGAGATGACTTGGTCCATGATACAAAGCATTTAGTCATCATGCTATGTTGCTGGTATATTGTTTTCCACTCAGAAACATTTTCTACACTGAGTGAAGAATTTATTCCATTTGAAGTATTTTGTATTACCATCTATTAATGTAATAACTTATAGTACCTTATCAAATCTATGTAACTTTATGTAATTAAATATGGTGATCTTCCTTTCATAGAAAGATACAAAAGGGACTTAGAGCTGCCTTAAAATGGCAGCTGGACAGCTTTTCTTGGCCAGCTGGACATTATTTTCCCCTCATGTCTTTAGGATTTGTGACTGAATAACAATTGCTGCTATTTTAATAACTAATACGGGCTGAAATCAGTTTCAGGCTGATGCTCAGAAAAACCTCCATTTTGTAAATGTTATCAGGACTAAAGTACATCAGACCTTGAAGCTGGAAGCTTAAATTTGTTGTTCAGTGCAGTGGTAGCCAGGGAAATACCTAAATGAAGCAAGTAAGAGAGAAGATAAAATGACATTAATATTTTGAAGTGATTGTTTGGGGGTAGAGTTAGAGTCTCTCATTAGGACAGTTGGGTTTAGAACTAGAACTGGAACAGCAAATAATTATGAAGTAGTAATTGAATGAATGCAGGAATCCAGGGTAAACGAAAAATAAACCCCCTTTCTTTGGCAGTGATCTTTAATTGCTAAAATATTTTCATATTCCTGACAGTGTAGATAAGCTAACTGCTGGGAAGCTCATTGTGTACAAAATTGTCCAACTGACAGCATATATATCAAATGTAGGTCTCTGGGATGCTTCCACTTGGCTTTCTGTCTTTTCCTTTGAGGATATAGGCAACACTTATTCAGGGAGCATATGTTGTAAATGGTTCTCCTACATTATCGCTGTGTCTTCTCAGGAGAAAAGGATGGGACTGAACACCTTTCCTCTTACATGTATGTACCCTGAGACACAGAGCCATTGATGCAGGCTGCAGAGATGGATTAAGCTCCTGCAGGCAATAGTGTTATACAGTACATGTGGTCCCAGCTCAAAAAAGGTTTCCAGCCTTTAAGAGAATATGCATTAGAGATGTATGAATAACCACAGTATAATACAAGAATATGTGCAGTAAAAGGGACCCCTGGTGGCCTAGTGGTTAAGATGCGGCACTCTCACCGCTGCGACCCGGGTTCGATTCCCCGGTCCCCCGGGCAGATGGAGCTCGTTAGCCCTGTGAGGCCATCCATCTATGAGAAGGTCACTCTAAACAGACCTACGTCCTGAGGACCTCACTGCCATTGTCCAAGCTTGCTTGGCCCCGGCAGATGAACCTTAGGATTAAAGGGTGGGCTCAGTTCAGCGCATGCTGTGTCTCACCTAAAAAATCCATTGCGCAGGCTGAAAAGGTAAAAGACCTTTCCCAAAAATCTTCGTTCACGAAGACTGGCCATTATGTGCAGTAAAATCAGAAGCAAAACCACAGACAGAACATACTCCAGTATACTTTGCATCATCAACTGTTAAGAATTCCTTCAATGCTCTCTCTATTTTGTAAAGCACAAGACATTTTAGGGATCCTGAAAGGTAGGACAATACCATTCCTTTTAATAAAAAAAGAAATCTGGTGCTCTTGAATTCAGCTACTATTGCTCAATTTTTGATTCTGAGGCTTTTTGAAAATTGTGACTAGAATTTGAACTTATTTCTAGTGATGGCCATCTTGCTAAACCACAGTATAATCTGTCATGATGGGCACCAAATCCAACTGAGGAAAGTCTTTTGGAACTGTCTACAATTAAAATTTACAGAATAGTTCAGTTTGTCAGAGATCATCCAGAAAGAGCTCAGCCGTGACACATGGGTAATTTGTCAAGCTGTATTGCTGTTGATATGTTGATACCATCCTAAAATAGCTGCATTTTGGAGACTAGAACAATTTTTTATTAGAAAAAAGAAACCCTGGACTTTTCTATTAATCTTACTACCGTAGAATAATAATTTTGGGTTAAATCATTAAGTCTAAATCCCTAGTCACTGTTTAGACTACAGCTGTGTAAAAAATTAATTGAACTGCATTTGAAATCATAGAAACTGGTAAGGACCAATTCAAGAATACAAGTCAAGACAATCTGATTTGTTGTTCTCCTAACCTGATTGTCTCCAGTTCCGCCATATGGCCAGAAAGAACATAGCACCTGGTAAGTTATTAGAGAACATGGAGGATAAAGTCAAGTTAAACAAACAAGGCTCAAATAGTGTTTTGTATTGAGTAATGTAAAGTTTCCCTGAACACAGCACATCCAAGCCATTTCTCTGGTCTGTGGATCTCTGCCAGGCACACAATGTGTCACAGAACAGTATCTAGAAAATCCCTACTATTCTGTGTCTTTCTTTTCAGTAGTAGCATAAGCCTTTGTTTAGGTGAAAGATCTAGTTTAGATGTAAGGAGTTTCTTGTCTTGTACATTTTTCTCAAGTGAAGGGTAGCAATTATAGCAGTTTCAGTGAAGTATAACCCATCTCATAATATTCCCTATTACAGCTTTCCCATCTTTCTGATAGAATGCAAAAAGATCACATGGTAAATTGGTACTAGTCAGCTTTTAAAGACAGTATTCTAGACTGTATCTTTCTTTCCTCGATTAGAGGTTAGTCATGCTGGGAGATGGTCAATCATGCTGTATGATTTCCTCTCAAGATTTTACAGATTCTAACTCTTAGTCCTTGGAATTTTGTGATGTTACACTGTTGGCCCACTCCCCAAACACAGAGCAGACGTAAAAGATATTAACACTTGCTGCAGAGTTATTTCTAGGTGTTGTACTATTCCTGTATTTTGATATCACTCATCCCAAGTAATTTTACTTCCTCTGAAATTGCGGTGAAGGTGCTTTGCAGATGTACCTGCTCCTGGGCTCCCTCTTGAGTGGCACAGTATCACATAATCACACCATGGTCAAGGTTGGAAGGGACCTCCTGAGATCATCTAGTCCACCCTTCCTGTTAAAGCACTGTCAGCCAGAGCAGGTTGGCTAACAGGACCATGTCCACTTGAATATCTCTAAGGATAGAGACACCACAGCCTTTCTGGGCAGCCTCTACCAGCGTTCAATTACCATCAGAGCAAAGAAATGTTTTGCTGTGTTCAGCTCTTGCTCTGTCACCAGGCACCACTGGGAAGGGTCTGGCTCCCTCAGTAGTTTCTCTGCTGAGGAGTTGGGCTTCTGCTATAATATGGCTTTGGCTTCAAATCTTTCCATCTTTTTTTTCCAGTAATTACCTTCAGTTTTAGAGATGTCATCTATGCCCACTAATTACTTTAGTCACTTAACAAAGGGTAAGAACATTTAAACACTGAAAATGTAAATTCATACTTTCAAACACTGAAATGGTTTCCCTTAATCTGTGTGGTGTTTTTGCAAAATCTATAAATTGTGAAATGTGAGCTGAATAGAACCATAGAATGGGTTGTAAGGGACCTTAATGATAACTTAGTTCCAAACCCCTGCCATGAGGGACATCTTCCACTAGACCAGGTTACTCAGAGCCCCATCCAACCTGGCCTTGAACAATTCCAGGGATGGGGCAGCCTCAGCTTCTCTGGCCAACCTGTTCCAGTGCCTCACCACCCTCACAGTAAAGAATTTCTTCCTAACAGCTAATAAAGCTATTGTAAAAAGCCCTTGTAAAAAGTCCCTTTCCAGCCTTCTTGTAGGCCCCTTTTAGATACGGGAAGGATGCAATAAAGTCTCCCCAGAACCTTCTTTTCTTCAAGCTGAACAACCCCAACTCTCAGCCATTCCTCATAGGAGAGGTGTTCCATCCCTCTGATCATCCTCATGGCCTCCTCTAGACTCGCTCCATCAGGTCCATGTCCTTCTTATATTGGGGGCCTCAGAGCTGGATGAAGTATTCCAGGTGGGGTGTCGTGAGAGCGGAGTTGAAGGGGCAAATCACCTCCCTTGACCTACAGACCACACTTCTTTTGATGCAGCCCAGGATATGATTGGCTTTCTGGGCTGCAAGTGCACATTTCTGGCTCACGTCCAGCCTCTCATCCATCAGTACCCCCAAGTCCTTCTCAGCAGAGTTGCTCTCAA